GTTCTAACACTGTATAGTGCTGCCATGGGCTGTTCAACATCTGCCACCTTTCACTATGGACATGGCTGAATTTCATCGAAGAGAGCAATTCTTACATATAGGAGCTGTATTTTGTAAACGTGTGTTGTGTGCCTTTGGGATGGAAAGCGAGGTATAAATGTAAGATTTGATTGCTGATAATTGTCACAATACTTAATTTGTATGGCTGCCAAACGAGCAGGTATCTCAGCAGTTGCCCAAGGGAAAGACAGGTACCAATAACTAGTAGTTCTGCTTTACCTTAATGAGCAGAATTGAACTGAATGTTGTTAGATTTAAACTTGCAAGAGTGCCAGCACTTAGGAATGCGATTGCACATATGATCAGCATCTGTTAATGTCAGGAGTAGGGGAGAGCCGGAAGTGTTCATGGTGAACTTGCACAAGGTTACAATATTGTGTTTTTCACACCTTGTAAACCATTTTAAAGCAACACCTGCCAAGCCCAGCTTTTGGGGCCCATCTGTATAATTATTATTATCCGGTAATAGTCCTGAGAAGAAAACATGGCAACCATTTAAGCCTTAATGAATTCAAACAGGCAGCCATGCACTAATTTATTCTTGTGCAACAGAAGCTGCCTAAGGTCAGTTTATCATCAGATATTTGGAGAGCAACCAGCACGTTGCTATATTTCAGTGTGTGAAACCGAGCTCGCCCCATCTTGTCCAGTGATATCAAAAGATGACACTGAAGGCTGCTTGAGCCAGGATTGTTGCTGCTGTATTCTCCCTCTGATTACACATACACAACACAACTCCAAGCCTGGGCTTGGATGAAATAAGTCAGTGAAAAAGCAATTATTGTATGTGCGTGTGTGTATCTGTTACTTTTTTCTTTTTTTAAGGCTCAGTTTAATTTCATCAGCAGAACATAAAACACCTAGCAATTTAAAAAAAAATACTTTTTCTTCATGCTGATATTGGTTGATTTGCCTCACAGCGTGTACTGTTGTTAAAATTAATTTTACAGGCAAATGTAAAGACTAAGGAATGTCTTGCAAATATCTGTAGGTGGTACGTAGAGATAGAAGAAGCTTATATCTAGAAATGAACCCACACAACCTGAAAAAGCCCCAACTGGTACAGAAATTCAGCAGCCTGTTGTTTAGCACCACAGGTCCCCAGGAACATATTGCCTTGGCACTCAGCTTGCTGCACTGGTTCTCCATTCAATGCAGAATCCAAATTAAAGTCTCTGTTTTGATATGTATAGCCCTTTGTGGCACTGAGTCTAGCAGTATCAGAGAACTCCCCTCCATCCATGACCTGCCATGACAGCTGCATTCCCCTGGAACAGTAAAGTTGCCTACCAAGAGAGGGAGACTTAGGAGTTCTGGAGCAAGAACTTTCAGAGCAGCTGGACCTAGACTGTGGAACTCCCTCCAAAAGAGATAAGAAGAGGCACAGAATGAAGCACTCACGGAATTAAGTGCAAAACTAATTCATATTTCTTTGACTTCAGTAACTTCTACTCCCACATGTATATTATATACACACTTGTATATGTAGAGGTGTATGTATATAAATTATGAAATTGTTGTTAGTTCTGTTTTTAAATACTATCTATCTGAAGGTCCCCCATTACCGTAGTATCTGAGTACCTCACAATCCTTAATGTGGTCATCCTCGCAGCACTCTTGTGAGGCATGTACGTGTTTGGAAGACATTTGGATAATCCAGCAACAGAGCCACATAAATACCCAGATAGAGGATTAAAATTGTAGTGCTTTGTGAGCTAGATGCAAGCACACGCTCTTTGACACAAGCAGAACCTCATGCCTCCCAAGCAGCCTGTCAGTCTATCAGGCAGATCTGTGTTTGGGCATTTTCTAGAATAACTTCTTTTCTTCCCCCCTCGAGATTTTTCACATGAAAGTTCTTATATAAGAGCAAATGATTATTATTTATTATTGCAGCTAGAAATCCTGTGGGTATTATGCAGTTGGTTTGATTGTAGAATAATAGCATTAGAAAATGATTGTGTTGACTCTGCTCGGTTTGAATATGCAGCTATTAAAAGAGAGAGTTTCTTTCCTGTGTTGTGATATAACAATAACTTACTTCCGGGTTCCACATCAACACCAGTTCCATGCAGGAAGGCAGTAGCAACATCTTGTCAACCTGTGGTAGTGAATTTGGTCTCACAACAGCAAGAGGGGCAAACAAAATGTGCTGGATTGTGTCATGATCCTTAGCCCCACTCCTGAACCAGAGATCATGCATTGTCTGCTTGCTAGAACAATTTACCTGTTGGGTTTTAAAACCAATGAAGTGCTCAGGAAAGGATAGTAGGTTTTATCTTGTTAATACAGAGAGATGCTATCCTCTTTCCCTTGCGCCCCAGAGTATTAAAATGACCCCCTAGAACAAAGTGCATGAAAATGTTTGCGAGATCTAACCCTGCTGTGATTTCACCATTTGAACAGCACTTGCAATATAAATCTCTGGGATCATAATATTGCATTGTGCTATATGGCAACAAGCTTGAGAATGGAGGGCGCTTTCCATTTGCATGGTAATGAACCATTCTCTTCCAAGGGGTGTCAAAAACAATTGAATTAGCTAATGAGATTTTACTCGAACCATCTGCCAGTCCCCTTCCCTTTCCTTGGGTGGAATGCAGTGCTGTGACAAATAAATGGACCTGTTTGGAAGGAATTGTGATTTTCTGTATTCCTTTGATCAGTGTGATACTTGCTGTAATATCACTTCTCAGGTTTTCTGTACAGGGAGGGCGGGGGTAAAAGGAACTGGTATGGTTGTGACCTGTCATGTGTGTAGCTTTGGGTATCTAGTAGTGCCAACCCCAAGCATTCAGAAAATCATGAGATGGGCTTAAAAGTCATGAGGGTTTTAAAAAAAAAAAAATCAAAAGTGGATTCTATTTTGTTTGTCTTCTTTATTTATCAAGGATCATGCTTGCAAACTGCGCTGTGCAGCCAGGAGGGAGAGAAACTGACACGGTTTCATCTTTCCCGTTTTAAATTGGCTCCAGGAACTGGAGCTATAAGAAGAATACCAAGTTAGAGACTAGCCTAGCAAGATATAGGGGAAGCAAAAGGCATCAGGTGTCTATTTTGGCATTTTACTGAAAGCTTTATCTTCTGGAGTCATGTGATATTATGTGAGGTGATAAATAATATAGGATAATCCTTTCCTGGGAGCAAGGGGCAAATGAAAAACAGAGGCAGGCTCTGAGCAGCCATGAGACTGAACTCTGAGAGTGTGTGTGTGTGTGTGTGTGTGCCACACCCACCACCCCCCCCGAGTACTATATGCTGCCTTCCTGTAATCTATATAATAGGATTCCAGGATTGCCACTCTGTGTGTCATTCTAGAATGTCTGCTGAGTCAGTGTGAAGCAATAGAAATAGCTACAAGCATGGCTGAGAGCTCTTTTTGTTCAAAATATCACCAGGTTCAGTCATCACCGGGATTCACAGTCCGTTACCCAGTTTTTAAGTTCTAAGCTGTTTTGACTTTATGAATGACACCCATGTGGTATATAGTTACAGTAAGGCGTGTATCTTTGCCAGGCCAAAAGTCTTAGACCATTGTGATAACAGAGGTAACTCAGCCAATCACCATCCTTGCTCTACAGCTATCTTGCATGCAACAATTTCAATGGTTATATGAAGGAAGCTGCACAAAAGATAGATTTCTTGGCCCAACCGCCACCCCTGTGCTAGTCTTCTTAAGGTCCAGGACTCCGCTATTTATGACATCTGGTCTAAATGCAAACATAACTTAGATTTGACAGTTCTCATGGAAAGGGTGGATGCTGACCAGCGTTCTGCCCTCCAGGAGGCTCGCTGCCCGGCCCCTCCCGAAGTCCCCAAAGGCATACACATTGATGTCCAGGGACTTACGCTTGGCCTGCTGTACCTGGGTGAATGTTGCCCTTAATGTATAGTTTAGGAACATGAGGTCTGACTTTGATCTCACTGAGACCAGTGTAAATCAGGATTAACTCCCCTGAAGTCACCGTGTACATGAAAAGAGAAATTGGCTCAGAGCCTCGTCTTAAGAAGCAAGTGCAGCATTTAAAGGTTACTTGGCTTTTGAGGCAATACTGGTCTAGCTTGGGAAGAAACAGGCAAGTATTAAATAGGGGTGAGGCTCCTTTGGTTCCCGCTCCCCTGCTCTTTGGGATGCGGGGCAGGAGACTGGCGATCTTATATGTCCCTCTTTGGGCTACATCAGCTGGTGTGGTGTTGCTTTTGTGGCTTTGTTTCGCTGGCAGAGTAGTGTGCAGGGGCTTCCATCCCCTCTGGAGCTCTGGGCACGCCCCCTTCGTGCTGCGACACAGTTTGAAGCTCATCCAGCTACTCAACCAAAAGTGGGTGGGGTGAGGGATGGTAGGAAAAGTTTGTTGAGAGCAGGCTCACGTGGAGGCTTTTGAAGCTTGGGGATATTGTCTGTTGCCTTTGCCCCTGCACTTTGTTGTGACAGAACAGTTCCTCGTGCTCTGGGTTGCTGCTCCAATGGTTAGAGCAGTAGACTTGGAGTCAGGGCCCTTGTCTCTGCCACTGACTCACCATGTGGCCTTGAGCAAGTTGATTAGCCTTTCTTAGTCTCAGTTTCCCCACCTGTGAATGGCTGTAAGAACATGTACCTCATGAGCTAATCGCTGTTAGTAAAGCATTCTGAGATAGCGGGATGAAATATGTTATGGAACTACAAAGTATTATTGTTGGGCTAAATTCATCCCTGGAGTAACCCCATTGACTCCAATGGTAAATTCTATCCCATTAAGTCTAATCAGGGTCCATTCATAGTACCCTCCTTCACCAGGTTAATGAAACCTTATGTAAAAACCCTCGCAGGTTTATTTTCTCTCCTGATCCAAAGATATTTCCATGGGTTTGTTTTGGTATATTAAGTACTGTTTTGGGGATTTGGGGGCAAGAGAGGTTTTTTTCCAATGTTTCACAGATTTCTCTCTTACCATTCTGCCCAGGTGTTCAACCCTGTTGTACTGTGAACATGAGCTGAGATGTGTCCCGCCCCCTTAGCATGTGGATGTCTTTGTGAACTCCATTTCTTCTCCAGTGCATTTGGTATGTTTCATCTCCCTCTCCTCTGAGTGCCCTCTGCCTTTCCTGACTGGCAAACGCAAAAGCCCGCGCGACTGGAGGCTGAGAGATGGTGAAAATGAGCTGTCTCACTTCCCCGCCACTTCAGACGGCCTGCAGGGCCATCACAGATGCTCTCGCTCTGCATTATTGAAGCTCTCATTCGTCAGCACATAGTGGCACTTAGAGTCAGATGCAAACAGCCCCAGGAGAATTGTTTGTTCTTTGGCGAGCTAGAAAAACTGGTTCCCCGGCACTTTTAGACATTCCCATAATTGAATATAATTTGCCATTAGATTAATATCTCTCCACTGTTCACTAATGAGTCTGGGATATAGCTGTCCCCAGCCTCAGCTTCTCTGTGATGCTAAGGCTCTGGAGGGTTCATAGGTAATGCATAATTTGTCCATACTGTTCTCTGAGTCAGCTTAACAGGCTGGATACAGTGACCTATAGGCCAGGTTCTTTACTGCCAAGTAGGACATATCTGGGGGAGGAAGGGAGTGTAGGAGGCAGTACTGTCTAATGATTAGCACTTAGGTATCTGGGAGCCATGACTCCTGGGTTCCACTGCTGTCTTTGTCACTGACTCTTTTGGTGATGTAATTCCTGTGTGCCTTGCTTTCTCTGCCTGTAAAATAGGGATATAATAAAAGTTTGTAAAGAATTTTTGAGGTCCTGAAATGATTGGACAATGGGTAGATAAGAGTTACAATCCTGATGTTACAAATGGGTAGCCTAAGGCATAGAGAAGCTAAGGCTGAGGTTTATTAGTGGGATTAATTTTAATGGGATTTGGGTGTCCAAATCCGCTAAGGTGAATTTTAAAATCTCAGCCCACATGACTTGTCCATGGTGAGACAGTGGAACAGAACTCGGGAGTTCTGACTTTCAGTACCTAGCTCTAGCTACCAAGTAATATCACACCATATGATTTCCGGCATCACAAACTGAAGCATTTGAGTACCTAAAAACGTCCACTTTCTGCATCTGAATGTTTCCATTGAAGCTGTAAAAATCTATACTGCTTATTGCGCGTTGTTTTCCAGCTGTTCAGTGAGTGTGTTTTTTCTTTTATTCGTTCCATTATTTTACATGAGAAAGCAGTTAGACAGGTTGGTAATGGACAAGAGCGCTCATCTTTACTTTTTGGAAAATCAGCATAACCTTTGACTTTCTCTAACCTCCTGGCATTTCCCCAGTGCTTCATTGACTTTACAAAAATAATTATCAGTAGTCCAGTAATTCTAACAACCTCTGATTGCTGTCATCCAGTCTAGCTGGTTTGTATTCAATATTTTCAAGTATTCCTTTACTGTACTTGCTCCTTAACAAGAAATACAAAGAAGACTGTCAACAAACAAGCGATATAAAGAAGTGTCAACAAACAGAATATGAGGAAATACCCCAAAATAACTATTGGTAAAGGTAAAGATCTCACCTACCTCATAGAGAGTTTGTGATCTTAAATTAATCCGTGTCTGTAAAGTGGTTTGAAATTCTCTGATAACAGGTACTGTTGAAGTGCACGGGCTAATAAAGAAAGATATTTTAATGGATTTACAGTAAATTAACCATGATTATCATCACTGCAAATTGTGGCCACGTACATATATAAACTTAGGGGCACATGAGGGAAAAGGCACAGATCTGTGGTTAAAATGTATCATCTCTGCTCTGTCTAATACTTCTCTTCAAAGGCATCACTGACAGACTGAAACAGACTTCACAGCAAATTTTTTCCAAACTACAGTGTATTGTGTCGTCCATGGTTTTGGAAATAGCTGAATACCGCAATCCCTTAGTGTTGTTCAAACCAAGACATGCTATAGAGCCTTGTTGACGTATAGCATATTGTACACATACCTAATTTAAAAAATATTCTGACCAGAATCAGTCTGTTACTGCACTTAGACATGCTATGCACTGTGGACTATAATTTAGATGAATTGTCCCAGTCTCCCATATCATGTTGACTAACAGCTCCCTTGGAAAGGAATAATTGATATTTGAACAAGCTGACTTGGTCTCTTGCTGACATGGGGCCTGATTTTGAGTAGTGCTGAGCACCCAACTGAAATCAATGAACTCTTTGGGCACTTGGAATATTGGGCCTGTGTTCTTCACATACAAAGCAACATACTAGGATGCTTTCAGGCTCCTACCAGAGAGTGACGTTCACCCCTGTGCAGAGGGCCAGTGCACAAATTATGCACAAATTAAACCATCAAAAAAGGGTGCATGGGCCTTGAGCTAGGTCTGTGACCATGGGTAGATTTCACCCACACATGGAAAGAGAGGACCCATCTAAAGTAAAATTAGACTGTAAGCACCTCTGAGCAGGGACCTGTGGCACAATGTAAATAATTTATCTGAGCACCGATAGTATTAGGCATGCAGCAATTCATAGATTCTAGGGCCAGAAAGGACCATTGTTGTCATCTAGTCTGACCTCTTGTATAGCACAGGCCATAGAAGTTCCCCAAAATAATTCCTCCCTGCAATACCATACAGGTTAGAGGGGTAGTGAGTAGGGTTTGTTTTATCCTACCTCTATTTACTAAATGACCTTTTACAGTTGCATCAGGCATAGCATCTTTTAAACAAGGCTAAGCCTCATAACTTACTGTTATTTTTAAAGGATACTAAATTAGATCCCCCTGTATGACAAAGACAGATAATATCAACTGGCTTTGTTTAAGATACATTTAAAATAAAGAGTTTACCACTGGGCCCCTTTTTACAGAAACATGCTCAGAAAGACAATTTTTAAAAAATTCAGAGAAGGTGCTTCACTTTAAGCATATGCTACAGTGTCATTGACTGCACTGGAACTTAAACACGTGCTTAGGCTCCCTTCCTGAACAGAAACATTTTCCTAAGTAAGGAATGTGTGAATCCTGAGGTCTCTGTCCTACAAGTTGTTCCATGTGGGCAGACTGTGGCCACAAATGTTGGGGATCAGAGATTTAGTAAGGACATGGGATTTGGCCCAGTGTATGAAGACACATGTATGGCAAGCAATTGACTAGATGATTCTAAGCAGTGGCTAGTGTGGTCTGAATGTACCTTCAAGTGACATATTCATATGCGTTTTGCCATGGCGTATAAACCAAGGTGTAGATTTCCCTTGTCTCCAAAGAGCAGACTAACACCCAATCAATGGAGGTCGCTTGCTCTTTCTTTGTGTGGTTCTAGGTGCTTAAAATTCCACTTGTCCTGTAGGATGAATTCCATTGACAACCACTAAGTTCTGGTAAGCAAACAACCAAAAAAGACACTTTTTTATAGAATGTTTGGAATATTGAGGTTCTAAGACTGTAGCAATTGCATTTTTGTCTTTACAAAGCTGTTCTTTATAATAAGCTGCCATGTTTTTGAATGGCCTTCTTTGTGTCTCATGGGGTGATCAGAATAGCACACAAGATCCCTTGCAGAATTCCAACAGTTTAACCAAAGTGTCGGTAGGGTCATTGCTAGATTCCTGTTGTTCCCTGGTCAGAGGTTAGTAATCAGTTCATGAAGAAGAGGCTTCCACCAATTCAGTTTTTTTCTGAGGTGGGTTTAAAGAGACTCTGTTATTACTTTTTCCTTTCTTTCACCAACATCAGGAAAGCATAATGATCATGTGTTGGCTTATAATGTGAATTGACATGATACCATCAGCCTAGCAGGTGGGAGCACCAATGAGATATTTTGTTGTTGTTTGACTTGAGAGATCAAAGTGTTCGTAGCACTTTGTGTAGTTACTACATCATAGCTGATATCCTGGCTCGCCACTGCTTTTATTTCTCTTTAGTATTCATTACTTTTGGAAACATCTGTAATAGGTATTTTTATCTAATCAGCACATTAGGTTTTCTGGACTGCACTCAATCTCTTTGCGACTGTCTTGGTAGTTTAAAATAAAATGTAAGTGTGAAGGGGAGCCAGGGGCCAGAATGTAACACTGCAAATGTATGTTTCCTCACCGGTTACCACGGTTTCTCTGACAAAGGAATTCCACTCTCTTGCGATTATGCACCATGGTACTTTGCTGTTTTCTGGAGTCAGATAATTAGATGGTGAAGCAGGACAGGCCTCTTAGTAACTGCTACATGTTGAACAGGTTAACAACCAAACATGCAGGCCTGGGTTCTGTCTACAGTTACATGACTTAATGCCTTTGAACGAACAAGGGGAAAGAAATATGGTCTAGTGGCTAATGCAGGGAAATGGAAGGCATAAGGACTGGGTTTCATTCCTGGCTCTGCCCGAGATCACACAGTGAGTCTGTATCAAGTCCCTTAAACTTTTTACCTCAGTTTCCCCATATGCAAAATACTTGAGATGTAATGCTTGTCAATTGTCAAGCTCTTTTCAGTTTTTGGGTAGAAGTTGCAAAGTATAGGCTAAGCCCTGTAAGATGCTGAGTGGCTCTTAACTCTCATTGAAATTAACATCACGATCTCTCTGTTCTCTGCCATGAACCCTAGAAAAAAACTTGACAACAAGTAGTCTGCTAGTGTATCATGCTGACTATATTGTTGCATTGTTTCCCTCTCAGACTATTTGTATGAATCTGTTGTCTCTTGTACTATTTACATTGTTAGGTGTTTGGCTCGGAGACTGTCTTTTTGTTCTGAGTTTGTAGAGTACCTAGCACAGTGGGGTCCTGGTCTATTAATAATAATTAATATGCGTGTCATAATTTTAGGCCCCAATCCTGCAGTTGGATCAGTGTGGGTGCAGGGAATCCTCCTACATGGTTCTAGTTGCAGGATCTCGGCCTTGGTTTGTAAAGGCAACAAATTAGTTTAGGTTGGATTTAGGGCAACAGTCTGAGGAGAGATTAACCATAAAAAAATAAAATCCAAACAGGGACCTTCCTTCTCAAAGAATTAGTGGAAAAGTGTCCTATATATCCAGCATAAATCAGCAACATTAACAAGGCCAAATGCTCTTGTTTTCATACCATAGGTGGAAGACTAATTGATAAATCTGAC